TTGAAACATCAGCTGAAATTTTGTCTCTCGTGGACTACATTTACTTGGAAGGATTGATTGGGATCAAAATTGAAATCAATTCGGAGAAAAGCTTTTGGAAGCTTTTATCATTGGAGACCTTGTGATCAAGGGCAAAACGACAGCACGGCTATGGTGAGCTGTAGACCAGAAAAGCTTTGAAGAAAAAAAATATTATCTATATCTATATGGTCCACCTACTTTGATCCAATCCTCCAATCAAATTGACCGAATCATGCAATTGCTTAGCAGCCTTGGTTTTGTTTTTTTCCCCCTCGAAGCATACGGCCTTTTGCCTTTTGTTTTTTTTTTTTTTTTGGGCAAATCAATAATCTTTTTTTTCCCCAAAATAAAAAGGGAAACCTTCTTAATATTATACTCAATAAAAACCCTCACAAGTCTTTCAAACCATAATTACATACGACACTAGGTAATTAAAACTCACAGGTGGAAAGAGGCTTTTAAAAACGGAACAATAACCTAATTATATTCTTCTTGCGTTCACAACTAATATATATGTGAAACTTAATTATTTATATTTTTTCACTTTGCATTTGTCTTATTCGAAAACAAGAAACTTTAATAGGTACACTTTCAATTATATTGTTGAATACATTAATTTTGATAATGTGTGTTTTTTGGTTACATTGAATCTGTATTTGTCTTATAAAGTTGATTGAGAATTAGTTAGTGGAAAGAAAAAAAAAGATCATTAGAGATTAAGCTAAAAATTTTAACTAACCCACCCATCAAAAAATTTATGGTTATGTCCTTGCTTGTGATGTTGCATGTCCCCTTTACTGTCTACATACATATGCTCATGTCTGTGCTGCATCTTTTCATATAAATATTCAGGCTCGTCAAAGGATGTGGGGGGGTTTGTTTGAGCCAGCGTCAAACTGTATTTCATTATATATTTGAATTTTTTGTGAATTTGAGTTATCAGCATACTAAAGTTCCAAGATTGACATTTTACAATATATATGGTTTTAAATGATCCCACTATAGATAGATACATACATAATTGATACACATATAGACACATTATGCAACATAGCCAACCACACGCAAGATTTGAAAAATTATTAGTAACTCTATTTTTTTACTATAACTAAATTCTAATCTTTGTGAAATGATGAAGAATAGACAATGAGGAATTATTTACACTTTTATGTAAATAAATTCTGACAGAGTCATTTAGTTTTCTCCAATACCTTATATTTATATTCCATATGAATTTAATTTCTCCTTAACACCAAAATATATTACCCTCATTATTGACACAAGAAACAATATGTATGTAAGTATATATGGCTGGTTATCACAAGTCATAAGAAAAGTACATTTTATTATGACCAGCTTTTATCACACGAAAGCTAACTACAAAAACAACTCATACGGATATTGAGGTATATATGGTGATGAAAATGCAAAGAGTGTGAAAAGGCAGATGGAGAGCAATGTTGGCATGGTGAATGCTTGGGAAGACATTTGATTTGTATAGTGTGGTTTATGTGTAGGGCTTAGGGTAAAAACACATCAATTTATATTGATCAAAGAAAAGCTTCAACTTAATTCTCTTCATATTTTATATTCACTTGGATTTGGATCATCCTAATCATGACTAAAGAGGGAAATGCAATGTTCAGCATAATATGTGTGAATTTGTTCATTGTTCTGTTTGATTTTTATGAGAAATGATAAGAACATGATACAAGCATGAAGCACCCACATCTCCCTTATCTTAAACCATGTCCACCCTTATAACAAAAAAGAAGAAAGAATATTTTAAAATTTTGACGAGTGTCAAAACCACATTGGTTGTAAGGAGGAGCTACTCCTCAATTTTAAGGAGCAACGCTTTTTCCAATAATTATATGTCAACGTATTTGTTAAGTACTGAAAAACAAATGTATTTGTTAAGTTGTCAATCGGTCTAGTTCAAAATAGCCTTGATTTGCATACCATTGTTACCTTGACAATACGTATAAGAAAATCCATTCTCACTTCCTAATTTTGGGAAAAAAAAGAAAGAGTCTAAAGTAAGTTCATATTCGAATAGATACACATTACAGAGATCATTTCTTAATATTAGTAGTTCTAGTCAATATATTACTCGATTAAAAAAAAGGTAATTTTCTTTGTGATAAAACAATTCGTCTAATTTAGTTTGACAATTTAATATGTTAACAAATTAGGTAAAAGATCAAAGTATGTTGCATGCCTCTCTTTCTTTTATTTTTTTATTTTTTGGTGTTGAAGCAGATGCTCTATAAAATAGAAGCATCCTATAAGATTACAAAATATAGCAAAAAAAACCATATTTGAAACTGAAATGTGAAAGAGGGACAATGTGACAATGTGACAATGTGATGAAGTGATAGCCTCCTTTTTGGGGTAATACAATACAATAATATTTTGATGGGAATTTTTGTAGAAATGTCATTTAAAATGGATGGAAAATTGGGTGTTGTTAAAGTCAGATGACAAATCATGAATTTTGAAAAAATTAAGGTGACATTTCTCTTATTTTTTTTTTTTAAAGTGACAAATTGAAACTGGAGGTATAGATTTAGATGAGATTTATTAAATATAGTAATTATAATATATTATATAAGAGACTTCCGACAACCTCATAGAAAAAGAAAAGAAAAAAGAAGAGAAAACAAATTGGTGACTAGGTATGTCGTGATGTAAACCTACAAATAAGTCAACATAAATTTAATTCAACTCTTAAGTCCGTATCTTGAGTGTTTAGCTGGGGAATTATAGCGTTGGAAACAGCAATTACATCTAAACAACTATTTGACTGAATTAATTTGATCTTTGAAGAAATGCTAACCGGACATGCTCAAGAGAGAGACTATATTACAAGGACATGATGTCACCTCACAATTCTTACCACGAATTCATGAGGTGAACAAGTTTATGTAGAGATTTTCTTTTGAACAAATCCTGTCAGCATTTTTGAACTCTGTTGTAAAATGCTTGTATCCATCATTTTGATTGCGTGGGCGAGCTGTATCTTCATCTTTTACAAAGCCCAGATCCATTCATCATTTTGATTGCGTTTTCCAATTTGCCATGAGAGGGAGAGGCAAATATGGAATTCTCAGCTTTCCAATTGTCATATTTGGTGGGCTGAAAATGATCTATTGACCCGGCCATACGTCTCAGAGACAAGCACATAACATATTTAACATGTGGATGGTCGATGGTGGTTGATGGATCTTCTTCTCTTTGGGTTTTAGAGAGCTTTGGAAAAGAGAATGTAGGATCCAGTTATTGATAGGTTTTGGACGTCCAAGATTGAGATGCTCCAAAAATAATATGCATTTCAACTATAGAGAGAAATGTTTTCTCGTGGAAATGTGTATCTGAACACTTGATCATATTGAATTTTGTCTACGTATGCTACAGATTCATAACAATATAACTACATGAAGAGGCAAAGTCACATACAGACTCATCTGGCATATCATATTCGTCTTTAAAAAATGACCGCTAGTAATTGATGCGCTAGTTGACAACCGATCGCGTATTTTATTCCTCCTTAAAAATGACATAAGGCCCCAGCCCAGGATCAAATCAGCCATAATGAGTGATCGAACTTTGAGTCGTACTAAAAGTCCACTAGGATCCAACGACTTATCACGAGTTTGCACTTTAAAGTGGAATTTCTTAAAATTGATTAGGAACAAAAGGTGATTGTGAAGGGTACCGACTTTTAGTATTTGAATAATTGATGGATAGACATCAATAAAGCAGAAAGAATTTGAAGGGCGAATCTAATAATTAGAAACATCCAATTATAAGTGTCAAATTTTTTATGTTCTTAATCTGAGTTACAGATATTTTAACGTTTCTCAACTGATCTTTTTGGGTCAATAGCCCCCATCCTCGTTGGTAGGCGTTCTTAATAAGGATGGATTACTTTGTCCACCCCATCGTTAATTTGGGACTAGTGAGGAATTTGACGATGCCACCACCAGTTGGTTGGCTCGTCTTCTACTTGTGTCTCCTCTAGTCTTCGTATTTGTCTGCTCTATTTTTCTGCTTGTGGTGGTTATCGATTAATTTTGGACTCTGACTTCGTAACTTTGGCATTTTGCCTAGGTATTATTATTCCTGACCAAAAAAAAACCTGAAGACATATTGGGTATGCCCTGTCGACAAACGGAGTATTGATTCGAAAGGGCCCACTTGTCCACAAGGGCCCACGATTCTAGTGAGACTTGATAAACAATGTTCAAAAAGAACCCACTCAATTATTTGTTGGCTGATTCTTTACTTTATAAATAGAGAGATCATAACATGATCTTGAAAGATGGGCATTGACAAAAAAAAACAAACAAAGAATTAGTGAGGGTAAATGCTCCTAATCACATTGTCGTAGGGACAGTAATGTATTATGCCCTTCACTATACTATTAATTTTATTAATTTCATTATACGACCTACTTACATGATTAATGTGACATAATTTTACTAACTCTTGATCGAGGTGTAGATTTTTGTTCTTCCAATTTTAGAAGCAATACCAAATTTGAATCTCCCCGCCGCATTTGATAAAAATAGTTTACATGCCTTTTCTTATTCTATTACTGATAGTAGAATCCTGCAATAAGGGAAAAATAAGAAGTACGACAAAGTGATCGATCTAGCTAATAACCCATATGATATGATAACGTATTAGCTAGTGATTAGGTGCCTTGATGTAACCCACATGAATGGAAAGAGCAACTTTAGTCAAGGTTTTCAAATCATAAGCTCTCCAACACCAGGATGCATCTTGGTTATAAAAGTAGCCCAAACACTTGCAGTCCAGAGTACACTTGCTAGCACAATCCTTCTCCTTCATAGCAACTCCCGCAGTGAAGAACTTGCTCATGAAGTGATCAACCCCCTCAACTTTGTAGTAATGGAAGCTATTTTCCTCACAAGATGTTAGCTTCTGAAGCTCACAACTTTTGTTCCAACCCATCAGTCCATAGGGCAATGGGCAAGCAACACATTGGTTGTCCTCACAAACCCCAAATTTCCCACATTGCTCCGGCAAGTGTAAACCCGAAGATTTCCATCAAATCCAAGCCTAAGAAATGAGACTGTACTATTGTGTTTGGGTCTAGCTAGACTTTCAGGTCCTATTAGGGAAGACATGCGAGTTTGCTTTAAGCTTATGGAAAAAGCATGAGCCTCATCTAATTCCGACGTGGGCTGGAAGCTCAATGCCACGTTGTCCAACACCAAGATGTAAAGCCCATTTGAGTTATCTTTCTCTGAGGCCCAGATCACAAGACCAGCCCTCAAAGCTTGGCCCGCCAATAAGGTGTCTGTTGGGTAATCAAAGCTTTGCCAAACAAAATTGCCCTTTGAGCAATGTAGGACTAAGTCACCATTTGGAAGCAACTTAAACCCTACCACATTTTTGTTGGCAGTGTTAGTTTGCCTAGCCACTCGGCCATCGGCATCGGCCAAGAGAAGGTTTCCATCGGCACCAAATGCCAGCAGGGACGGACCCACAGTGGGGTCACTGGGGTCAAACGACCCTATGGAAGCCATGGAAATAGACTTGGAGGTCCACTTGAGCTGGCTGTGTGACCCTCCAAGTGCTTGATATTTGGCCTGAGAGGAAGAGGAAGGAAGTTGCGCGCAAGAGGAAGAAGAAGTAGCGCAATGCACTTTTTTTTTTAAAACACCCTGGGCAAAACAACGTCGTTTTGGCCCAGGAAAATTTTTAAAATAAAAAACCCTTTCGTATCCCTCCATTCTCCCACGTTAACCTGTTTTCTTTTTAATATTTTTAACCTGTTTTGTTGTTGGAATCAGCAAGTCAACTTTGTTCCATTTATTATTATTTCTTCCTCCCAAATTCCAATGACTGGCTTAGAAATTAGAATCCATGAATGATGAGCTTTACTTGAAATTTTATCTAAGGATGACCACAACATGGTTTTATCACCACTATTTAACACTTAAGAATTTCTCACACACCACAAAAAAAAAAAAAAAAAAAAAAAAAAAAAAAATTTTTTTTTCTTTGTAATTGGAACAAAATGCAGTAAGTTCTAAATCTTAATATCAAAATGATGTATACTGGTTTTAATTTAATGGAAATCAAATTTATGATTTATATGTATTGGTTTGATTTGTTGGATGAAGTTTTTGCTTATTTTTGTTGATTAGGCGGTTGTGGTTTTTTCGTTTTTTGGTTAATTGCCATAGGTTTGGTTTGAAATTTTATGAATTGAAATCACTCAAAAACATACATAAAAAAAATGACAAATTGAAATCATTCAAAGTATATTTTTCCAAGAAAGGAATAAAATTTGGAAGAGAAAAAATAGATAAGAAAAATAACCAATTCTTAAAATTTCTTTGGAACATTTACACTATGACCCTACGGGGTTCAGATCCTGGGTTAGTCACTGAATGCCAGGGTAGCATTTTCACCAACTGGGTTTCCTTGGTTCACATCCCAAACCCGATACGAGTCGTACCTAGCATGTCCCATAATTCAGGAGACAATGGTTTTCCTATGTAGCAGAAAAGTTTCATAATCAAAGAATTCTCCTTCATTGACAAACTTGAAAGTTTGATTTGCGGGAACTTGAGCTTGAGAAATGAAAGCCAAGAGTGAGAAAAGAAAGAGGGGGATGATGAATGACATGGTGAATGAAGTGGAAGACATTTCGTAGGCAGACCTCTATTTATAATATGATCAAATTGATAACAGAAGAAGAATTGAAGAAGATAGAGAATAAGAACAGAGGGAAAGAATAGAATTTTTGTATTGATTTTCTCTTAATGACAACTGTTACAGTTAGGCTCAGCTTATATACATAATAGAAAGCTTAGAGCTTAAGAAAGAACAATTAACGAACTATATATAACCACTTAGCTTAACAGCTAACCATAACACGTGCTAACAATTTGCCAATCTCAACAACTTGAACCGACTGTACAACAGAGTAGCACACTCATCACAAATAAGGCTTCAAAGAAGGCATTGAATTTGAATGCTCTCTTAGCATCTCATATCAACCTGGATTTGGAACATCCCTTGATGTTGATAAAGGCACTGAGGAGAATATAGGATTGTTACTGCTGCGGGGTAAGTCAAATCAAGAACTGCACATCATGCTAAAGAGAATTATGGGTATACTTTCTTGCAAATGCATATATATATATATATATATATATTTTTTTTTTTAAAAACTGGTTTATTGCATGTTATTGTTATCGTTGAGGTGTTTACTTATTTTATTTGTAGCTTTTTGGATAGGAGAAGCAAATGCACATGTTCTTGAGGGAGCAACACTAAGTCAGGGGATGGATATATCGGGGTATGTGTCAATATATATGTTGCGCCCTAATTACCCCAATCTAAAAAAAAAAAAAAAAAAAAAAAAAAAAAAAAAAAAAAAAAAAAAAGAAACTTCTTATAATCATACATACTACATATTACAATATATATGATTTTAATCTAACTGGCTAGAAAGATATATGGGCACCAATTATATACACTTACTCACATATGCTCCCCTTTATAGATGATGGAGATCCCGACATATAATGTTAATATGAAAGCTTTCCAAACATTGTATTTGTACTCAATATGTGAACTATTACGATCCAAATTTTTTCTGATGCAGCATAACCAAACCACACACAACATTTGGACCATTATTTAGTAGCTCTATTTTTTACTATAACTAAATTATAATTGTTCTAAAATGATGAATAATAGAAAATGGTGAACTATTTACACTTTTATATAAATAAATTCTGACAGGATCATTTAATTTTCTCCAATACCTTATATTTATATTCGTATGAATTTAATTTCTACCTATAACACCAAAATATATTACACTCATTGACACAAGAAACAATATATATGTATGTATATATGGGTTGTTATCACAAGTTATAAGAAAGTACATTTTATTATGATCAGCTTTATCACAGAAAGTTCACTACAAAAACAGTTCATACGGATATTGAGGTGTATATGGTGATGAAAAGGCAAAGAGTGTGAAAAGGCACATGGAGAGCAATGTTGGCATGGTGAATGCTGGGGAAGACATTTGATTTGTATAGTGTAGGGCTTAGGAAAAAAAAAATCAATTTATATTGATCGAAGAAAGCTTTAGATTAATTCTCTTAGGCCCCGTTTGGTGGACTGGACTGCACTGATTATGATTGGACTTGTAATATTGGATTGGACTAGGCTAGACTTCAAGTCCTATTGAATTGTTTGGTAGAACACTAGACTGGACTGGACTGGACTTAAGTCCAATCCATTGTTTGGTACAAGGTCACATTGGACACTATTGGACTTTATTTATTTATTCATATTTTTAAATTTAATTTTTATTTTACTGTTTATTAGATTAATCATAAAAAATTAATTAAAAATGTATCAAATTACATAACTAAAATTTATATAAAAAATTATTATAGAACCAATACATTTAAAGAGATTGGGACTTCAATAATAAAAAATATTAAAAAAAAGACTGAGACTATCTTAAAAGAAAAAAAGAAAAAGAAAGATTGGAATCTACATCAAACAAGCAACAAAATTCAACAAAATTAATCCAGCATATCTAACTTATTAAGAACAATTGAGATCAATTTGAGCAGGCACCCAAACATCAGAATGAATAAGGGATAAAGGAACCAAACTTTTATTTGTACTTAATGGAAACGGAATACGATGACTCTTAATCAATTCACATATATCACACTGGAAGTTGGAAACAGCAAAACTAGAAAATAATGATGGAAACAACTTATTCAGATAACCGAACGAGGCATGCCCAGGACGTTTATGCTATAACTAAATTTTGTCTCTCTGCCTCTCAAAACTAGCTCCACTTGTTGTGAAAGTTTGACCAACATTGGTCTCACTATCTGGTGCCCAGTTCAAGTAGTACAGTTTGCCTCGCCTAGTACCATAACCAATCATCTTCCCTGTGAAAATTTCCTAAAAAACACAATGATTCGGCTAAAATGTTATAGTACACCCTAAAGTAGTAGTAAGTTGTGCAATATAAACAAGTTATGGTCCAATGATGGAACAATCAATATGGAATCCAGATGTATAAAGTTAGAGAAAGATAAAGGGCCTTCTCAAACCATAAGGGAGTGGTACCATTAGCATTAGACACCACCGATTGAGTGGATGGTTTGCGACTAAAAAGTTGGCCAGGATCAAATGTCATGTGATTCGTAGCATCTGAGTCAATAATCCATGCGGGCTTTGGAAAGGATGTATGAAAAGCAAAACCCTTGGTGGTGGCGATAGAAGCACGAGCTCGGGTAGTCGATTCAGCAGGATTGACTGCATGATTCTGTGAGTCTGCAAGGACAGACTCACAGAATCGTAGGAGGTCCTGACATCGCAGTGGAAGTAAGATTTGATATGAGTGTGTGATTGTGGTTAAAGAGTTGATTTGAGAATTCGAGGAATTTGATTTGAGGAATTTGATTTAGGAATTTAATTTGAGAGGTAAGGAATTTGATTTAGGGTTTGGGTTTGAATTTGAGGCTTAGAGAAAACCTAGAATCGATTACTCTCCCTAAACTTGGCTCTGATACCATGCTAAAATATGAATATGGTTTGAATATTTTTGGTTAATTGTATTCTTCTCCATATGGAGGTAAGTATAGGAGTTTACAAAGGTACTTTACAAGGAAATAGATATAGTCATTAATTAGGATAATATCTCCTAATTATACAAAGATGTGTCAACTATATAAAACAAGGAAGTAAATCACCTAATTAACTTAGGAAATAAATCTCCTTGATTTAATAGGTTTACTCACGTCAACAATTTAAACCTCATATTTCTTGATGACATTATATTTCCAAGTTGTGCAAATTTAAAAATTAATATTCTCTCATGGAGAATCGAAACAAATATTTATTTCATGATATTTCAAGTTCGACAATGCAACATACAATAAATTAAAACGATATGATCTAACTGCACATATTAGTGATTAGGTGCCTTGATGTAAGCCACGTGAGTGGAATTGACAACTTTGGTCAAGGTTTTCAAATCATAAGCAATCCAACACCTAGATGCTATTGGTGGTTAGTTTTATGCACATGCACTCTAAATATGAAGGGGGAAATACAATATAAAAATTTAAAGAAATAATATAATTTTAGAGATGTGAAACCCGAAGGCTACACAAAACTCCTATACAAACTTACTTAAGACAAACTTCAATAAGATTGATACTTTAAATACGCTACTACAACACACACTCTTGATACACACAAACATAGAGTGGATACAACGCCTATTTATAGGCTATAATATTAACTCAACATTAAACATAATCATAACCATTATACCTACTTACCTCACATTAACTTCAACTCATAAACTAGACATAATAGCTAAACCTTTAGATTCTAACTTTTATTTCCTAAACTTCTGACCTTTGAAATTAACCCAACAATCTCTCCCGTAATTTCAAAGCTTATTAACGTAGATGCTTTCCCCCTTACTCGTCTTCCATGTCGCTTATGTTCATAATACTTTGAGGCTGACCAAAATCATTTTCTTCTGGATTTTCATCTTATGTTAGCATTCCAATTTCTAGCTCTAGATCCATCACTTGATCTTGTAACGTCTTAATATCTTCACGCAGCTTTCCACATTCGATCTTGAAATTCATCAATGCATTAAAGTTGACATCGAGCACTTTAATGATGTCCTGTTCAATCCAATAATTTAGACAAAAAATATGCCGCCAAGTGTTCTGCCTCTTTTTTTGTGTTTTTCCATCTGCTTGAAAAATTCAGATGTGCGCCTCCATCAAAAGTAATATGACACATGAATTGAATTGCATGAGCCGGTCCCTTGGTTACCAAATTAAAATGTGGTTCATCATTAAAGTTACGTTTAGCTTCAATCAAAATGGGCTTGAATGGCACAACGACTGATATACTCATTTTTTTTTCCTTTTCTGGCTGCAAGAGAGAAGTCAATTAATAGCTAAACACTTTCCTTCATGAGTCAAAAAACACTCTATTTTCTTTCCTTTTTTTTATTGGTGCACATTTACCCCAATCTTCACAGGAACCATTGTTCCTTTTGCTTCCTTCAGCATCCTTGTGCCCATCTCTCTTCCTTCGGCATCCTTATGCCTTTCTCTCTTCATTCGGCATCCATATGCCTTTTTTTAATGGCATCAATATGCCTCTCACTTGCAGCCAACACATAAAAAAATATATTTTTTCCTACACATCTCAAGCCTACGATAAAACTTTTTAATAACAACAAAAAACATTTTCATCATACCAACACAATTTAAATATAGAACCACAACCAATGCTTCATGCTACATACCAAAAATTATTTAAAAATTGGACCATGCTCCAAACGCCACATATGTGATATAGGTCCTCATAACCGTATCAGCTCTGATACCACTTATTGGCAGATTAGGTTTATGCACATGCACTCTAAATATGAAGATGGAAATACAATATAACGAACTAAAGAGATAACATAATTTTGGAGATGTGAAGCCCGAAGGGTACACAGAACTGGTACAAAAACTTACTTGAGACAAAATTCAATAAGATTGATACTTCAAATACTTTACTACAACACACACTCTTGATACGCTTGATACACACAAACATAAAATGAATACAATGCATATTTATAGGTCATAATATTAACTCAACATTAAACATAATCATAACCATTATACCTACTGAACCTCACATTAACTTCAACTCATAAACTAAACATAATAGCTAAACCCTTTAGATTCTAACTTCTTATTTCCTAAACTTCTGACCTTTGAAATTACCCCAACAGACGTATCTTGGTTGTAAAAGTATCCCAAACACTTGCAATCCGAAGTACACTTTTTACCACAATCGATCTCCTTGGTAGAAGATCCCCTAGTGTACTTGCTCAAGAAATGATCAACTCCTTCAACTTTGTGGTAGTGAAAGCTTGTTGCCTTACAAGAAGTTACCTTCTCAGGCTCACAAGTCTTGTTCCAACCCAAAAGCCCTTTAGCCAATGGGAAAGCAACACACTGGTTGTCCCCACAAACACCTAAGTCTCCACATCTAGACGAAGCTGGCACTTAGTCTCCCACACCAAATCTCTGTTGAAAAGTGTGAAGGTCTGCTCCCATGAATCTACCTTGTCATAGTAAGTGTAAAGCTTGATGTTTCCATCAATTCCAAGCTTGAGGTATGTTAATGTGCTGTTGAATTTGGGTACATCTAGAAAGATATTTCCACTTGTGGAAGAGTTGGCCTCTTGATACTCTAGGGTTAGGTCATAAACATAACTCTCATCCGTTTCCGGGGCACTATTCAATGTGACATGATCTAATGAGCCCTATTGAATGGTGATCTATTGAGAGTAGAGTAGTGACTTCGGAGAGTTTTTGCTCTTATAGTACAAAAATAATCCCTTGGCCTCCATCACCAAGCTGTAAGCCCCATCTTTGTTTTCCTTGTTGGAGGTTCGACTCACAAGCTTTCTTATTGCCTCGGCCTAGAGAGATTGACCCACCAACAAAGTTTTAGTTGGGTTGTCAAAACATTACCAAACGAAGGAACCCTTTGAGTCATAGAGGACCATGTAGCCAGTTGGAAGCAACTACCACCCCTTTGTTAGCAGTGTTGGTTTGCCAAGCCACTTGGCCATTGGTATCAGCCAATACAAGGTTGCCGTCTATCCTGAGTGTTAGGGTGGCATTTTCACCAACTGGGTTGACTCGGTTGGCCTCCTAAACCCAATGCATGAGTGACTCGGAATGAGTCAAGCCTATACGTAGGGCAAGAGTGAGGCATTATAGCACTTCAACCCTAAAGGGCAAGGGCAATTACTATTAAACCATTAATTTTGATAAGATTTTTGATTGCCATGTGTCACTATTTATTATAAAATTCTCATCTCAAATTTCAGATAAAATTTTAGGATAAAATTTTCACATAAGATTTTTGATTGCCACGTGTCCATATTTATTATAAAATTCACATCTCAAATTTCAGATAAGATTTTCTGTTTCCATGTGTCCATATTTATTATAAAATTCGCATCTCACTCATCATACAATTGAAATACATACTCACTCATCGTACAATTGAAATACTCTCGGTCATCATAGTCTGACACAATCGAGTATAAGGACGACTCAATCATTGGCATACACGGTTCCATCAAATCACGACATAGGGGAGTATTTTCCTTTGGAGGATGTAATAGTGCCACTATTTCCAAGACGGAACACACCATTGGAACCGACTATGGGTATTGTTCACTTGAGGAGCCATGTGTAATGGTTTTCCTCTTTTTTTTTTGCCTTGAATAATCTATTAAAAAAATGAAATTGGAAATGCAAGAAAGAAAAAAAAGACATTAAATAATTTTTTTTTACCTCATTGCCAAGATTTTGACCGCTTCAAACGTTTGTCCATGACCCTCCGGCTTCGATGGACGAGGTCATTTGTATTTTTACACAAATGAAATTTTGTAGTAGAAATTTGGTGTGGAAAGTGAAAAATATTAAAAGGATATGAATTTGTATGAATATTTGGTGTGGAAAGTGAATAATATTGACAGGTATTTATAGAAAAAATTTCCAAAATTTTAAAATATTTTTTTACAAATATTTTTGATTTTTTTAATAATTTTTTTAAGCCAAAAAATGGACATTCGTTGAATTGGATAACATTTGTGGATCAGAAGCTCCAGAAGAAGCCATGTGGTTTGTAGTTGTTTTGGTTTATGAGAGCTATGGGTCAGCGCTGATATCAGCAGCCCAAAAACAAGAGAAATTTGTAAGGCCCCTTGCTCCTCGAGCTTAAGGCCCTATGCTTCCTGGGTTGGCCTCTTACGTTGGAGATGCTCTTAGAGGTGGTTTTGTAGAAGCCAAGTTGGAAGGGAGAGTTAAAGGCTTGAAACAACGTCTGATAATCTGCTTGACATTCGACAACATAATCCCCAAAATATCCCTCATTCACAAATAATGAGAAAATGAATAAAGGGATCAGTGATGAATAATAGACAATGATGAACTGTTTACACTTTTATATAAATAAATTATGACAGGATGATTTAATTTTCTCCAATACCTTATATTTATATACGGTATGAATTTAATTTCTCCTTATAACACCAAAATATTTTACCCTCATTGACACAAAAACAATTTATGTACATATATATATGGGTGGTTATCACATGTTATAAGAAAAATCCATTTTGTTATGACCAGCTTTATCACACGAAAGTTAACTATAAAAACAACTCATACAGATGTTGAGGTATGGTGATGAAAAGGCAAAGAGTGTGAAAAGCCACATGGAGAGCAATGTTGGCAGGGTGAATGCTGGGGAAGTCATTTGATTTGTATAGTGTGGTTTATGGTGTAGGCTTAGGGAAAAAAACTTCAATTTATAGTGATCAAAGAAAGCTTTAACTTAATTATCTTAATATTTTATATTGACTTGGATTTGGATCATCATAATCATGACTAAAGAGGGAAATGCAATGTTCAAAATAGCTAGCTAAGTTTTCCTTAATATGTGTGAATTTGTGCATTGTTCTATTTGATTTTTATGAGAAATGATAAGAACATGATACAAGCATGAAGCACCCACGTCTCCCTTATCTTAACCCATGTCAACCTTTATAGTGCGTACTTAGCTCAACTTATTAATTAGCAATTGTCACCACAAGTGTTTGATCATCAAATAATTAGAAGGCATTAATTTTGGTATGTGGCTTTCAAACCAACAATTTGGATTCGTCTACTTGTTTGAGGTTGCTTTGAAAGGGTTAAAAGCATCTTCAGACAACGAAAAACATTTTTGATAGCGTTTGATTGAAAAATTTAAAAGTCTTAATGAAGAAGTAGAAACCCAATTTTGGCATCTTCTAGTGGTGATGTTTTCGAGCCATATTTTACCAATTTTGGGTTTGTGACCCTCTGGTTGGAAATGGACTCAGAGCTTAACGTTGTGTATAATTTGTCATTCTAGCCAAGCTAATTAGTCAATGAGAGGGCTGCAAGACGAGTTATTCATGCTTTGAAATACCTCAACGATTGCCCAAGTATTAATATCCTAATTAAGGGTTTAATTCATTTGAACTTCATGAAGAAACAAGAAAGTAAAAAGAAAAAAAAATTTCACAATCTCACCCCATTTATGGGGAACTCTTATTAATTATTCATGCTTTGAAACATTGGATACAATGGATTCTTTAATTAGATTTTAATCTCCATTTTAAATCTAATTTGATTGAAGTCATCAAATTGTCTTCAAGAAGCCATACACCCACCTTCGCCTATGTGGCTGCAGCCTGCAGCTGTATTTTATACAGAGGTTTACAAGACAAATTGATAATTATAAATTCAAAATGAACAGCCGTTCCCACAAAACATGTGAGCTGCTGAGATAGACTTTGAGTCCTATACAATCAAAACTGACTCAAAGTCTAGCCAGAAGATGAACTATTGAATTTCCTGATGATTTGTTCTAACAACATTTGTAGTCAATATGTAAACCAGTAATTACTATGCCTAATGCAAGAAACTAAACCAAGCAATAAATGATATAAAAAAGAACACAAAAGAATTTAAGGGTTCCTCCAATATTGGAGTACTTCCCTAACCAATGGAAGCTTCTTATTAATTACCAGAGAAATACAAGAGAACTCACAAACCTAACAGCTCTCAAGTACACAAATAGATGCCTCACAATCTTATTTCTACACTGCTCTAAGGTACTAATAGATGATATAGGTTACAACCAAATCCTAGACTAAAACTGTATCCTAATTAAACTAGGAAATTAAGCCAATGTTAGCTTGCGTCCAAGCTAACCCAAAAAGCCTACAACTTTCCTTTTCCTACATTGATACCTATTTTAGTTTAGGCACATATTGATTTTATGCCATTTCGAACCATATGCAAGATTACAAGCATTATTAGTAACTCTATTTTTCTACTATACTATAACTAAATTCTAATTATATTGAAATGATGAATAATAGAAAATGTCGAATTATTTACACTTTTATGTAAATATTTTGACATAGTCATTTAATTTTCTCCAATACCTTAGATTTATATTCCACATGAACTTAATTTCTCCCTTAAACCAAAATATTTTACCCTCACTGACACAAGAACAGTATGTATGTAAGTATGTATGGGTGGTTATCACATGTTAAAAGAAAAGTACATTTTATTATGACAAGCTTTATCACACTAAAGTTAACTACAAAAACAATTCATACGAATATCGAGGTAATTGATCATCACGACTAAGGTAATTGATCCCCATGGAGAATCGAACTAAATATTTATTTAATGATATTTCAAGTTCGACAATGCAAAATACGATAAATTAAAATGATGTGATCTAATTACACATATTAATGATTAGGTGCCTTAATGTAAGCCACGTGAGTGGAATTGGCAACTTCGGTCAAGGTTTTCAAATCATAAGTGATCCAACACCTTGACGTATCTTGGTTGTAAAAGTATCCCGAACACTTGCAATCCGAAGTACACTTGTTACCACAATCGATCTCCTAGGTAGAAGATCCCCTGGTGTAGTTGCTTAAGAAATAATCAACTCCTTCAACCTTGTAGTAGTGGAAGCTCGTTGCCTTACAAGAAGTTACCTTTTCAGGCTCACAAGTTTTGTTCCAGCCCAAAGCCCTTTAGCCAATGGGCAAGCAACACATTGGTTGTCCTCACAAACGCCAAAGTCTCCACATCTAGACGGAAGCTGGCACTCAGTCTCCCACACCGAATCTTTGTCGAAAAGTGTGAAGGTCTACTCCCATATGAATCTACCTTGTCATAGTCATAGTAAGTGTAAAGCTTGATGTTTCCATCGAATCCAAGCCTGAGGTATGTCAATGTGCTGTTGAATTTGGGTACATCCAGAAAGATATTTCCACCCGATGAAGAGTTGGCCACTTGATACTCTAGGGTTAGGTCATAAACATAACCCTCATTTGTTTCCGGGGCGCTACTCAATGTCACATGGTCTAAAGAACCCTTCTGAATAGTAATCAATTGAGAGTAGAGCAAAGACTTCGGAGAGTTGTTGCTCTTAAAATACAAAAATAATCCCCTTGGGCTCCATCACTAAGCTGTAAGCCCCATCTTTGTTTTCCTTCTAGGAGGCCCGACTCACGAGCTTCCTTATTGCTCCGGCCCGGAGAGATTGACCCACTAACAGAGTGTCAGTTGGGCTGTCAAAGCTTTGCCAAACAAGGTTACCCTTTGAGTCATAGAGCACCATGTTGCCTGTTGGAAGCAACTTGAAGCTTACCACCCCTTTGTTGGCAGTGTTGGTTTGCCATGCCACTCGGCCATCGGCATCAGCCAATACAAGGTTGCCATCTGTCCCGAACGTGAGGGTGGCGTTTTCGCCAACTGGGTTACCTCGGTTGGCCTCCCAAACCCAACGCATGAGTGACTCAGAACGCACCAAGCCCATGCATAGGGCAAGAGTGAAGGCATTATGGGTGGTGTTGTAGAAGCCAAGCTGGAAGGGGGAGTTAAAGACATAAGGCAGCATACGATAATCTCCAAAATATTCCACAACATAAGGCCCAAATTCTCCCTCGTTGACAAGCTTGAAAGTTTCATTGGCAGGAACTTGAGCCTGAGCAACGATACAAAAGATCGAGAAGAAGAATAATAAGGAGAGCAATGGCATGGTAAATGTAGGGGAAGACATGTTTATTTTGTTGCTTGGTTTATGTTGTATCTCTTAGAGGTCGAGACCCGTTGTATATTTATAATTATAATTATCATAGACAGTGAACTTGTAGTCTTGTTATTATTTGATATTGACTTGGATTTGGATCATACTTGAAATTGTCTTCTTAAAATATTGTTCAGACAAAGTCATCTGTATAACGTGCATGAGTGCGGGGATTAAATTTTGTGTTTTCTCCCCCATGTTACCCAATACCCATTCAAATCAAGATCCAATTTATTATATCGATGAACTAAGGTTTGGCGAGTTCCTATCTTTTGACCCAAAAAAAAACAACTAAGGCTTGTAGAGTCAATTGCATTCATTATCTTTGAATGAAGAGAGGTTTGGAGAATGGGAAGAAAAAAAAGTCATGATATAGAGTCGCGGACTAGCCAACCATTGGATCAAAGAAAAAAAAAAATCAAGGGAAAGAATAACATTTATAGTGATAAATTTTTGGCTTAGATGTGAATATATATACGTTTTCTACTATCCCTTTTTTTTTGCTGGGTAAAGATTAATTTTAAGGCTTGATTAATAATACATAAAATCTGATCTCTAACAATAAACTTCTAAAAATTGGGATTTTTTCACTACTAAAATATCATGGGAGTTCGAATATGAGACTATTGATATGCAAATCAAGACTCTTTTACACCGGCTAAACCCGTTGACTGTAAACAAGGAAAGTCAAGCCATTTATATGCGGCAACTTGTTGAAAAAGATAACGACAATTTGCTATGTCTTAATTATGATATGTACAAGTTGCATGCATTCCCCACCCAACCCTCTTCCCTGCTTTTTCGAAATGAATGACCACAAATAATTGTGCAAGTATACCCTACTCTTCAGCCCGAGTGGTGAGGATGACTACGCATCCACTAGTGGAGAAATTTGCTAGAATTAGAATAGTTCATGCTTGGTTTCTTTTCTACTTTAAAATAAATAAATAAATTCACTGCCTAATTAATTGTTTTGGTTTATTTATTGGCAACTTGTGTACGTTATGTGTTGTGTGCTCCGCACACTGAATTTCAATTTTGTTATTTCGTTTCATTAAATAAATAGATCTTTTTCGTAGCATCTCTGATCTCCTCCTCAGTGCACCCATTTCTCTCCAAGTGGCTGCCTCCGACAGTGTATTTGCGGTTTTGCAGACACCCGGCCTCTTTGTTTGACTTTGACCATAATTACAAGAGGACTAGCCCAGCTGGATTTCTTTTTAATTTAACATTTTAGCTACAAGTTGTTTTTTTTCTTCATTGGAGTTCGATTTTAGGATTCGGAGGGGAAGCCACCACCATTGTGGTGGGAATCCGTTGGCGACCAAACTAGCACTTAAACCATGCCAAAACTAGAAAACCTTTAGAACACTCTTCCACTTGTAGCTAAAATAATAAAGCACAAGAAAGCAAAAGCCAGAAAACAACTTGTAGCTAATTAATTGAATAAAGTTAAAGTTCCGAAAGTTTTATGTACCTCTTGTCTTCAAAAAAGAAAAAAGAGAAAGTTCACGTGCCTCTTCGTGGAATTCAAGGGACATCCATACAGATCGTAAACAGTTATGTGCTGCTATCTGTGCTCTTCTCTAATACAAGTAGATCTCACTTCTATGAAAGATGAGATCAGTAAAATAATCAGTAAATGTTGTATTATTATTGTTTTCTTAATCCGCTAATTTTAAGCATTTACAGAACAAATTAATCACCTGACTCAGTTATGATAACTTAGTTTATAATACAGTATTGATTTGATTCGCAGAGCATGTTAAATATATATTTAGATAGAGTTTTGATGATAAATATTATATTATTTACCTATAATCAAATCACACAAAGAGAATATTGTAATGCATTTTTAACGATATAATGTTCTCCACTCACCTGGAGAATCAAAACAATCTTTATTCAATTTGATGTTCGATCAGAAATACAACAAAGTGAAGATCTAGTCCCTATAAATATATTACTAGTTAGGTGTCTTGATATAAGCCACGTGAGTAGAATTGGCAACTTTGGTAAGCGTTTTCAAATCATAAGCTATCCAACACCTTGATGTATCCTGGTTGTAAAAGTACCCCAAACACTTGCAGTCCGAAGTACACTTCTTACCACAATCAGCCTCCTTTGTAGCATCTCCCCTAGTGTACTTGCTCAAAAAGTGATCAACCCCTTCAACTTTGTAGTAGCGGAAGCTCTTTGGATTGCAAGAAGTTAGCTTCTCAGGCTCACAAGTCTTGCTCCAACCCAACAATCCCTTTGACGATGGACAAGCAACACATTGGCTGTCCTCGCAGAGGCCAAAGTTTCCGCATCGCTCCGGCAACTGGCACTCAGTTTCCCAGATTGAATTATCTCTGTCGAAAAGAGCGAAGGTCACCTCCCATGCACCCCAATCCACCTTATCGTTGTAAGTGTAAAGCTTGACATTTCCATCAATTCCAAGCCTGAGGAAGGTCAACGTGCTGTTGTATTTAGGTCTAGCTAGAATACGATTTCCACCAGAAGAAGAGTTGGCCGCTTCATAATCTAGGGTTATGTCATAAGCGTAACCCTCATCTGTGTCCGGGGTACATTTCAAGGTTGCATGGTCAAGTGAGCCCTTATCAATAGTAATCACTTGAGAGTAGAGCAATGGCTTTGGGGAGTTTTTGCTCTTATAGTACAAAAATATTCCCTTGGGCTCCATCACCAAGCTATAAGCGCCATCTTTGTTTTCGGTCTCGGAGGCCCGACTCACGAGCTTGTTTACTGCCCCTGCCTTTAGAGATTGGTCCACCAACAAAGTGTCGGTAGGGTGGTCAAAGCTTTGCCAAACAAAGTTGCCCTTTGAGTCATAAAGCACCATGTTGCCTGTTGGAAGCAACTTGAAGCCTACCACCCTTTTATTGGCAGTGTTGGTTTGCCACGCCACTCGGCCATCAGCCTCGGCCAAAACAAGGTTGCCGTCTGTCCCGAATGTGAGAGTGGCGTTTTCGCCAACCGGGTTTCCCCGGTTGGCCTCCCAAACCCAACGGAAGAGTGACTCGGATCGTCTCAAGCCCATGCGAAGAGCAAGAGTGAAGGCATTTGGGGTGGTGTTGTAGAAGGCAAGTTGGAAGGGGGCGTTAAACACACTAAGCATACGGTAGTTTCCATCGTATTCTATAATGTAAGGCCCAAACTCTCCATCGTTGACAAACTTGAAAGTTTCGTTTGCAGGAACTTGAGCTTGAGAAACGAAAGCCCAGAGTGAGAAGAGAAAGAGGGAAAGCAATGAGATGGTGGATGTAGAGGAAGCCATGTTAGCTTGTAAGTTTGTGTTGGCCTGGAGAGCTAATAGTAGGCCTCTATTTATAATCTCATATTGGTTGGATTTAGATGATTCTGGGATTAAAATAAGATGAACCGACTGTTTTCAGACGCCATTTTTGATCAAATCATGAACAGCTACGATTCTATGTACAAAGCCGTGGTCAATAATGCTATGATTTTCTTCGCAAAGAATTATTTTTATATTACATGGTACTTTGTTTGGTACTAGTTTATTATTTTGGATTTTATGAACGTGGGTTGGTGGCGCATATTATAATTTTCTTCCCCATGTTATCCAATACAGCAATGTTGCTTTTGTCATTGTTTGTCGGAAGGAGAGGATGCCTAATCTTAATCCTCAACCCTTATCCACTACAAGGTGTTTCTGGAAGAAAAGAAAAGCCTGGTCATAAAGTGAAAGAAGCCTAAAAGTAAATCCTTCCATTATTGGAAGTTTTTATGTCGTATTTAGAGAGAATTTGCGCTCTTTTGATTTGTAATTTATTGATCAAATGGATATGACTGCGTGGTCTTGGTTGACTGACAAAATAACATGGAAATTTTTGAGTGTTTCGAATACATTACATGGTTAATGTACCATTCAATAGATATGGGATATGTAGAATATTTTCAATGCAGCAAGCCACATGTTATAAAAGCAATGCAATAAGTTGGAGAATAATTCCACATAGCTTATGTGTACTGAATGGTACACCAGGCAGGTGGTCAATCAAACAAGAACTGAAAGTTGTGACACTCTTGCAGTTAAGCATAAAATATATTATACTATGCATAATTCCACATGTCGTATGTGTATTGGATGATGCACTAAGCAAGTGGTCAATCAAACAAGAACTGAAAGTTGTCACTACCACAAAACAAAAAAAAAAAAAAAAAAAAAAAAAAAAAAAAAAAGTTACAACAATTACCATTTGGTGATATTTGATGGGGTTTGTCACCAAAAAAGCCTTTTTGGTGACTAAAGCCTTTAATCACTTAAGCAAATATCATCAAATAATGATGACTGTTTTCACTCTTTTTTTTATTATTTATTTATTTTTTATAATGTTGTGAAACTCTTGAAGTTAAGCATTAATTTGAAACAAGCCCCAAAAATTAAGTACTTTTATGTAGTTACCCCTTGAATTTATGCACCCTCATAGTAAAATTGTTGAAGACCAAAAAGAAAAAAAAGTAAAGTTTTTTCCTATCGAAAATACAAAATATAAAATTCACCATTATATGTCATTGGCTTTATAGAGATACAACTTGGCCTTGTGGGTATGTGCTAATTGGACGAGTGTGGAAATTCGTTAGAGATGATGTGCTTTCCATTTTGCGCTCGAGTTGAAATCCATCTTCTTGTAGTTTAAATTAAATTAAAGTAGACTTATATACTTACTTATAAATAAAAAAAAAAAAAAAAAAAAAAAAAAAAAAAAAAAAAAGTAATATAACACTTTGAAAAAAATTTGAAAAAAAATCATTTCTTACGTTTTCACTTAAGAATATGATGTCGATAACATCTCCCTTCATTGCAATTGCTTGGGGCAAATGTCTTACATCATTATCTTTAACAATTAATTCAAAAAACAAAACTCATAAATAATGGCCAATTTATATATAATAATAATGGGATCGATTTGAATACCTTCAAAGTAAATTTAGGTTTTAACCACAAAAAAAATTTCACTTTTGAAAAAGACAGAAAAACCTCTCAACTTTTAAACAAAAGACATACAAATGTATAGGATTCTTTAGGAAATCCAAAAATAAACAAGGGCAATTTTGTCCATTTTGGCTTCTTTTAAAAATTTTATCTCTCCTTTGGTCTTTTTCAAAGTCTCCCTACATTCAGTTGGTCTACATATCTTTTTATTCTTTTATTGTCAAAGACACATTTTTGTTTAAATTCTACAAAGCAATAAAAATTTGTTCAGCTACAAGTACACCAGCTATGTGCTTCCTGACAAACTCTAGCGTCGCATCCAGGAGGGCATATGTGCTTGCACTGCCACCAATATGTGCAATAACATGCTGCATCAATCATCTCCACTTGTTCCTCTTGCTTTTCAGCTTCACCTTCCAGACCCAAAGCTGCAAAAAAAACTTACATATAAAGGGGATGTCATTGTTTTGTTATTCCCGGTCAATAACACTATATAACATGTGAAAAAGTTATCTTACATGTCATTGTGTTATTGGCCAAGGATAGCAAAAAGTGATATCCTCGTTACATGAGAGTTTCTCTCCCAAAGCTGATAAGAAGAAGTAAGAGATTATTATTATTATTATCTTTATTGATTAATTACTATTAATTAATTAGAAATTATTTTAATTAATTTGGTTACTTTAATCTCATTGTTTCATACATACCAGCGAGAACTTCTTCAGCAGTGGACTTTTTATTGGCACAATCACAATTACAGTGCCCAGCTATGCACTTGTGCACTGGGCACCTCTTGCCACACAGGCTTATACAATCATCATGATTTTCACATTTCAAATGATGATTAATATTATATTATTTACTATAATCAATCATACAAGGAGAATATTGCACTGCATTTTTAATAATATAATGTTCTCCACTCACCTGGAGAATCCAAACAAATCTTTATTGAGTTCATAACATTTGATGTTCGATCAGAAATACAACAAAGTCAAGATCTAATTACTAATTAGGCGTCTTGATATAAGCCACATGACTCGAATTGGCAACTTTGGTCAAAGTTTTCAAATCATAAGCTATCCAACACCTTGAACTATCCTGGTTGTAAAAGTACCCCAAACACTTGCAATCCGAAGTACACTTCTTACCACAATCAGCCTCCTTTGTAGCATCTCCCCTAGTGTACTTGCTCAAAAAATGATCAACCGCTTCAACTTTGTAGTAGCGGAAGCTCTTTGGATTGCAAGAAGTCAGCTTCTCAGGCTCACAAGTCTTGCTCCAACCCAACAATCCCTTTGACGATGGGCAAGCAACACATTGGCTGTCCTCGCAGAGGCCAAAGTTCCCGCATCGCTCCGACAACTGGCACTCGGTTTCCCAGATTGAATTATCTCTGTCGAAAATAGCGAAGGTCGCCTCCCATGCACGCCAATCCACATGGTCGTTGTAAGTGTAAAGCTTGACATTTCCATCAATTCCAAGCCTGAGGAGGGTCAACGTGCCGTTGTATTTAGGTCTAGCTAGAATGCGACTTCCACCAGAAGAAGAGTCGGCCGCTTCATAATCTAGGGTTATGTCATAAGCATAACCTTCATCTGTGTCCGGGGCACATTTCAACGTTGCATGGTCAAGTGAGCCCTTATCAATAGTAATCACTTGAGAGTAGAGCAAAGGCTTTGGGGAGTTCTTGCTCTTGTAGTACAAAAATATTCCCTTGGGCTCCGTCACCAAGCTATAAGCCCCATCTTTGTTTTCGGTCTCGGAGGCCCGACTCACGAGCTTGTTTACTGCCCCTGCCTTTAGAGATTGGCCCACCAACAAAGTGTCGGTAGGGTGGTCAAAGCTTTGCCAAACAAAGTTGCCCTTTGAGTCATAAACAAGGATTGAAATATCGGCCGATACACCGATATATCTGCCGATATATCGGTATTTTCAACTATCGACATCGATACTGGGGGGTAAGGCCATATCTTCCCCTGTATCGACGATATATCCCCGATAAGTGCGATATTCCCGATATTTTGCCTATATCCCCAATATTTCCCGATACCCATAACAGAACCCAAAAAAAATTCAGAAGTTTTGAAGGCAATTGAAGCAAATTGAAACCCAAAAATAATTAATCCTTGCCCAAAACCCTATAATTTATTAATATGAAGAATCTATGCATAGTCCACTGCCCACATACCTCCAATCCATCTGAAGAGGACATGGCAATCAATTTTGGATCTATGAACATAGGAACTAGACCTAGTACTAACTCAAATGAATCTTAAGATGTCTATGTTTATGTCATGTTTAATTATAGTGGAACTAGTTATGGAGCTCAAGATGATAAAAAAAATTATGGACCTACTAGTTGGTTAATCCTAACTATCCCATATATGGGAGGACAATAGGGAGCTCAAGAGAGACCTATGTGCACCATGTTCAAACATGGCTTACAAACTGCTTGGGTTACATGACTTGGTATGACTATTGTATGAATCTAGATGGTTGTTCCTCATTATTTAAACTTCATAGGAGCTCTTTATTATGTAGATGGACACTTATCTAAATTGCAATCCAATGTTTAAACAAACAATGGATTTATGCATGGTTTATTCATTCTAATTAACATTTTATTTTCAAACTTTTCATTAACGCGCATTACATACAACTTATATTTCATCATATGTATATCTTATTATTAGTAAATTTTGAGTTTTATTTGTTCAATACATTCTTTGATACTGTACATAACATCTATGAATGTTTTACACCAAAATTATGTGTTTCAATGCCTATATCTGTCATTTTTGTTGATTTTTTCCCGATACCTAAAACGATAACGATATATCCCCCGAAATATCCGTAAATTGGAGGCCCGATATTATCTGCACGGCCGATATTTTAATCCTTGGTCATAAAGCACCATGTTGCCTGTTGGAAGCAACTTGAAGCCTACCACACCTTTGTTGGCAGTGTTGGTCTGCCACGCCACTCTTCCATTGGCGTCGGCCAAAACAAGGTTGCCGTCTGTCCCGAAGGTGAGAGTGGCATTTTCGCCAACCGGATTTCCCCGGTTGGCCTCCCAAACCCAACGCAACTGTGACTCGGATCGCAGCAAGCCCATTCGAAGAGCAAGAGTGAAGGCATTTGGGGTGGTGTTGTAGAAGCCAAGTTGGAAAGGGGCGTTAAACACACTAATCATACGGTAGTTTCCATCGTATTCTACAACGTACGGCCCAAACTCTCCATCATTGACAAACTTGAAAGTTTCATTGCCTGGAACTTGAGCTTGAGCAGTGAAAGCCAAGAGTGAGAAGAGAAAGAGGGAAAGCAATGAGATTGTGCATGTAGGGGAAGCCATGTTGTAGCTTGTAGGTTTCTGTTGGTCTTGGAGAGCTAATAGTTGGCCTCTGTTTATAATCTCACATTGGCTTGAATTGGGATGATTCTAGGATTAAAATGTGAGAAATGAACCGACTGTTTTCAGACGCCAATTTTGATAAAATCATGCACAGCTATGATTCTATGTATAAAGCCGTGCTCAATAATGATTGTTATATTACATGGTATACTTTGTTTGGTACTTGTTTATTATTTTGTGCTTTAAGAACGTGCGTTGGTGGAGCGTATAATAATTTTCGTCCCCATGCTACCCACCCAATACAGCAATGTTTTTATCATTGTTTGTCGGAAGGAGAGGTTTTAATCCTCAACCCTCATCCACCAGAGGTGTTTTTGGAAGAAAATAATCCATTATTTGGAGAGAAATGCTCTCCTTCTTTTGGTTTGTAATTTATTGATCAAATGGATATGAATTTGACTGCGTGGTCATGCTTGACTGACAAAATAACATGGAAACTGGACCAATCTTATTTTTTTTGTTTAAGGGGCATTCTTGTCCAAATCAATTTTTTTGTTACAAATTTTCTAACTGTTGATCAGCAATGACTGTAATTGTTACACCAAATCGCTTCAATATGCTTAAGTTGCTAGTTGAGGAATGAATTTGCATAGTCTTTTACCAAGGAATCAATTCCGGACAATATGTTAATAAAATCCAGATCAATAGTACTTTTGGGTAGGTTTTGATTCTCTCTCTTTGGAGTTTGGTTATTGTCAAGGTGCGATGCAGAAAAGCTTGTATGAAATGGGAATAACACTATTTTGCTATTCCCGACCAATCACAGAATGCCACGTAGAAAAGTTATCTCACGTGACATATCGTGTTTAGCTGGAAATAGTAAAATAGTGCTATCCCGATTTCATGTAAGTGTTTCTCTGAGCCGGTGTGTCTGGCTGGAGGTGAAAGGCATGGGGCAGGAGTGGGGGTGGTGCAGGGGGTATGGTTGGTGGTGGTTGGGGAAAGAGTGGGGCTGGGTTGCTGATCTTTTTACTTTTAAAATTTTGTTATTTTAGTATTTTACTTATTTGATTTTACATATTTCTTTATTTTTATTATTTTAACAGACAAATAATTTTTTATTAAATTTTTAATTCACATCATCAAAAGGAATTAGCCCTTATGTTTGCTACATCATAATTTAACAGATTTTTAACATTTAACAAATGGACTAATTTGTATGTTTTTCATGAGGTTAGTATGTCTGGAAAAATAAAAAAAAAGTTGGGTATTAATTCGAAACGTTTCCCAAAAATTGAGTACTTTTATGTAGTTAACCTTTAACTTGGGCTTGTGGGTATGTGACAATTGGATGAGCGTGGAACTTCTCGGGGTGAAACAAGTTTCCCTTTTATGGGCTTAGTCAAGTTGGTTGGAGCGAATGTACTTCCCACTTTACACCCAAGTTCGAATCTCTCTCCTCGTAGTTTAGATTAGATTAAAATTGAATATCGCTTGTATAAAAAATAAAGATTTTGAACTAGTTGGTAATAGAAAACTTCTTTTAAAAAAATTTGTACTCATTTCCTAAATTTTCGCTAAGAATATGATTTTTTTTAAGTGTCAGATACCATCTCCCTTCATTGCAATTGTTTGAGGAAAATGTCTGACATCATAATCGTCAACAATTAATTAAAAAAAACACTCATAAAATCGATTTGAATACATTCAATTGGTCCATATATCTTTGATTCTTTTATTGTCAAAATAAATTCTACAAAGCAATAAAAATTTGTTCAGCTACAAGTACACCAGCAATGTGCTTCCTACAAACTCTAGCGTCGCATCCAAGAGGGCCTATGTGCAATAACCTGCTGCATCAATCATCTCCATTTGTTCCTCTTGCTTTTCACCTTCGGCTTCCAGACCCAAAGCTAGTTATCTTTGTTGATTAATTACTATGAATTAATTAGAGATTATTTTAATTAATATGGTTACTTAATCTCAGTGTTTCATACATACCAGCGAGAACTTCTTCAGCAGTGAACTTTTTATTGGCACAACCACAATTACAGTGTCCAGCTATGCACTTGTGCACTGGGCACCTCTTGCCACACAGGCTTATACAATCATCATGATTTTCACATTTCAAATGCTTCTCCTCCTTTAACATATTGCAACTCTTGCTTCACTTTCTTTTGAAAAACCTGCCAATTTTAAAACATTTTCATCATTGAATAAAATCAATTACAACATATATGATATAATAAAAAAGATTGCGTTCCAATTTCTCCTCCTCTAATATCATTTGTATAATATGACAATTGTTGTAATATTACTTTGTACATCATACTAATTTTTGTGCACATGTATTAAGAAAATCACAGGAATTTTTACTACATTTAAATAATATAGTACAAATAAAGAAAAAAAAGAGTATGAGGTTTTAGTGATACACGTAAAAAATGAAAGAGTAGTATATGATATAGGCGTTAGGAATATTTTACATATAACAATGTTTTCTGTCGTATTTAATTAATTTTCTTAGTATAACTGTTTCATTTTTGAATTTTTTTTTTCCAAATAACATTGTTTCCCTCAAGGACATATTCACGCATATAACCAAAGTTTTAAATTAATAAGGTTTTGTTTAGAAGAATTAATAAAAGTTACCTTACAAAAACTTAAAAGAAATGGACAAGGATTATGTTCACGAGCTACTTATTAGGCCATCTCCAAAAGTGGAGGGCTAAACACAGCCCATCTATAAAATTTAGCACACTATTTATAGTTTTTTTTAATGAATAGTGATGGACTATATTTTTACTGTAAAATAGACCTGAAATAATAATAATGGCTAGTTGACGTCAGCATATCTGAAATAGCACATCCATGAATATGGCCAAATTTAGCTCAACACTTGGCCTCTTCAGCTTGCTGACTGGGTTTGACCAGTGACATGGCAAGTTTAGCCAACTTGCTGGAAATAGCTTTTGGGGTATGAAAAGGCTAAATTTGTGAGTTTAACCCACTACAGGAGATGGCCTTAGTCTTCATGGGGGCTAATTCTTCTTATTTCAACAATATATCTTCATTATATTATACATAGAAAATAGAATAATTTCATTGCCACAAATAAGGTAAATAATTCTTTTTTCAATGATTTGGAGCCTTGATGTAACCAACATGAGTGGAGTCCGCAAAACCTTATCTTACCGGTATGTTATAGTGTAAAGTGCTCATATATCTGAGAACGAAACATCTTATTTGTAATTTATTGAGTAAATAGCTTATTTTTCTAAAAACACCATATCTTACCGGTAAGTTACAACGTAAAATTCTTTTTTTTTTTTTTTTTTTTTTTTTTTTTTTTTTTTTTTTTTTTTTTTTTTTTTTTTTTTTTTTTTTTTTTTTTTTTTTTTTTTTTTTTTTTTTTTTTTTTTTTTTTTTTTTTTTTTTTTTTTTTTTTTTTTTTTTTTTTTTTTTTTTTTTTTTTTTTTTTTTTTTTTTTTTTTTTTTTTTTTTTTTTTTTTTTTTTTTTTTTTTTTTTTTTTTTTTTTTTTTTTTTTTTTTTTTTTTTTTTTTTTTTTTTTTTTTTTTTTTTTTTTTTTTTTTTTTTTTTTTTTTTTTTTTTTTTTTTTTTTTTTTTTTTTTTTTTTTTTTTTTTTTTTTTTTTTTTTTTTTTTTTTTTTTTTTTTTTTTTTTTTTTTTTTTTTTTTTTTTTTTTTTAAAAAGTTTCCTACATATCTGAGAAGGCAACATCTTACCCGTAATTTATTGAGTAACTAGCGTATTTTTCTAAAAACGCCATATCTTACCCGCAAGTTATTGTGTAAAAAGCCAATATATCTGATAACGCAACATCTTACCCGTAATTAATTGCGTGAATTGCCAATTTTTCTGAAAACACTATAAATTACGGTAAGTTATAGTCTAAAATGCATATATATTTGAGAACGCAACATCTTACCTGTAATTTATTGAGTAAATTGCATATTTTTCGAAAAACATCATATCTTACCGGTAAGTTATAGTGTAAAAAGCTTATATATTTGAGAACGCAACATCTTACCCGTAATTTATTAAGTAGCTTATTTTTCTAAAAACACTATATTTTACCGGTAAGTTATAGTGTAAAAAGCCTATATATTTGAGAACGCAACATCTTCCAGTAATTTCTTGCGTAAATAGCATATTTTTCTAAAAACACCATATCTTAAGGATAAGTTATAATATTAAATGCCAATATATTTGAGAACGCAACATCTTACCCGTAATTTATTGAGTAAATTGCATATTTTTTGAAAAACATCATATCTTACTGGTAAGTTATAGTATAAAAAGCCTATATATTTTAGAATGCAATATTTTACCCGTAATTTATTGAGTAAATAGCCAATTTTTTTTTTTAAAACACCATATCTTATTGGTAAGTTACAGTTTAAAATGTCTATATATGTGAGAACGCAACATCTTAACCTTAATTTATCGAGTAAATAGCATATTTTTCTAAAAACATCATATCTTATAGTGTAAAAGGCCTATATATCTGGTAACGCAACATCTTCCTGGTAATTTATTGCGTGAATTGCCTATTTTTCTGAAAACACTATAAATTACGATAAGTTATAGTGTAAAATGCCTATATATCTGAGAAAACAAAATCTTACTCGTAATTTATTGAGTAAGTAGCTTATTTTTATAAAAACACAATATCTTACCGGTACGTTATCGTGTAAAAAGTCTATATATTTGAAAACGCAACATCTTACCCGTAATATATTTTGTGTAAATAGCAAATTTTTCTAAAAACACCATATCATAAGGCTATGTTATAGTGTTAAATGCCAATATATTTGAGAACGCAACATCTTACCCGTAATTTATTGAGTAAATTGCATATTTTTTGAAAAACATCATATCTTACCGGTAAGTTATAGTGTAAAAAGCCTATATATTTGAGAATGCAATATTTTACCCGTAATTTATTGAGTAAATAGCCAATTTTTTTTAAAACACCA